GCTAAGGGTAGGTTAGCTTGGCAATTGTGTGATTTGTGAATTTTAAAGTATAACCACCCGCATACATAAATAAATGCATTTCTGCTAAGGAATATACGTTCATCCATATCAATATCAACATTAAAATCAAAACAATGAAGAAAACAGTGCATGGGTTCTCTAAACATATGAGACTCCTGCCAGAACGTGTCAATCACTAATGCATCACTGCATACAATTTCTAAACTCTGATCAGGGGAACTTGGAGTAAGTGAATTAACGGTAGGGCCTACGGTAGAAGGACAGTCAAATTCAATTAATTGCTCAGTATTGCCATTTACTATGCAATTCAAATAACTTAATCCCCATCTCTTCTGAAAAAGGCAAGTAAATAAATGTGGAGTGAAGCCTGCACAATTGCCTCCACCACGTCGTATTTGTCCAAAAAAATGTTCTATCACATCTTGACAAAGCTTTCTGGTCATTAAAATCTGAAAATTCTTAGAGGCTAAATATTGCCATATATGCTGAAGGCTGTTAATATTGAGAAGCCACCCTTTAATAAAAGAGAAGTTCTTAACAATATTGTTACCTTCGTTGTCTTCAAATCTAATGGATTTGAGAAGAATTTCGGCTTTTTGCAGAAAATCCAATTGTTCAATTGATCCGCAAAAGCCTTTTTTAAGTCCTAAGCTACTGGTGCTGCTTGAATTGAATACATCAAAAAGATTATTAAAAAACAGAACAAATTCAGCAGTGTTAACAGTACTCGTATTACTTGAATCAATTAAACCTGATTTACATAATGCTCTCATTCCTGATGCAACTGTGTTGCTAAATACTTGAGAAGCAAATCTGACACGCATTTTTTGAAAAGAATTGGGCCTAATATGTGCATTTGTCAAGTGAGGCGCACATCGAATAGTTGATTTTGAATCAATATTAAAAAAATGAACAATGGTGGCTATTATGAAATGTCTACCGATAGACAATAGACATTTGTCTACCGAGTCGATTGATAGGCAAATTTGGTATTATGAAACTTGATAGACAAACATTTGCACTATTGTGAATGATGTAAGGGTTTTAGAGCGCCCAGCTTTAATTGAACTAATTTTTTTAAATTTGTTTGCTAAGAATCATTTCAATTGAATTGAAATTCTTTATAAAATAAATATAAAAGTAAAAAAAAATGTCCACAGTAGATATTTGGTATTCGTCTTCATCGGAAGACGATGAAAATACAAATCTTCGTCTATACAGACGCAGAATTCGAGATGCAGCAAATCCACTGGAATATGATACACAAACGTAAATTCAAATGTGATAAATGTATAATTGTGATTAATATATTTGTTTTCATTTAAAAGATTTATTGCTAACTATCGCTTGAGCAAGGAAGCGTTTCTGGAAGTGTTGCACGAAATTGACGGCCACTTGCAAAGCGGTACAACAAGACAAGCGATTTCAAAAGTAAATAAGTTGGCTGCTTTATTAAGATTTATTGCGCAAGGTTCTTATCAGTTAGGAATAGGTAACGAGGGCATTGTTGGAATGGCGCAGTCAACACTGTCCGTAATAATTAATGAAGTATTGAATGCATTGGAGAGCACAATTTGTCCTAAATATGTTTCATTTATAAATACAGAAGCAGAAACTTGTGCGACAAAGCTTTCTTTTTATGAAAAATGTGGTATTCCGGCCATCATTGGCGCTATTGATGGTACACATATAAAAATTGTATCATTAAAAAAAAACACACAACATCTATATTTCTGCAGAAAAGGATATCACAGCATAAATGCTATGATTGTAAGTATATATGAGTTAATGTTCGAACACATGCCAAATTAATTTAAACCGTACTGCAAGGTATGTGACCACAAAAGAAAGATAAGATATGTAAGTGCAAAATATCCAGGATCTTCTCACGATTCTTTTGTTTTCAATATGTCAAATCTCAAAGCGCATTTGGAAACTGAATATCAAAACGGAATGCAGAATACTTGGTTGCTAGGTAAATTTTAAGTAAAATATTAAAACAAATTATTAATTGAATTAATTTTTCAGGAGACTCAGGGTATCCCTTAAAACCATATCTTTTGACACCATACCGAAACCCTGCAGATAGCTCTGCAGAACAACAATTTAATAAGAAGCATGTCCTAGGAAGAGAGATCATAGAACGATGTATTGGCACTTTTAAAAATCGTTTCAGATGCTTAATTGGAGCTAGAGGTCTTCATTATACACCAGAAAAAGCAACAAAAATAATACATGTGTGTGCAGCATTACACAACATTTGCATTAAATACGGTTTGTCCGAGCCTACACCACCAGATGTATATCAAGATAACGATGATAATGAGCCAGAAGATGATCCATTGGAAATTTCGAATGACGACTCGCCATTGGGCGCAAATCCGCATTTGTTAAGGGACGAAATTGCACGTTCAATTATGCATTAAAAAATTGAAATTTAATTACATCTCCTCTAAAAGTATAAAATCCAATTCAAATATTCTTAAAAAATATTTTATTAATATATATATTAATATATTAAACTTAAACTTAAATAATCTAGAAATAATTGTTTATATTTATATATACTTTAATATTTTTATAATGTGTGGTAATATTTACATATGTACATTAAATTAAATTAAATTAAATTAAATTAAATTATTAATATTAGTATTTTCTTTAAGCAGTTGAAGCTTAACAGAGCGATATTTATCTCTTTTGTCGGCATTTTCTTTAAATAATCTTAATTTTTCTTCTTTTAGAGCAAGTTTTCGATCACAATACTCTTGTTTTTGAATGCTTTCTCTTACTAAAAGATTTTCAGTACTTTCTAGTCGCCTAGAGACATCTTTATAAAATAGTTCCTGGGCATTTGTTTGTGCCTTTAGTAGCTCTAGTCTTGTCTGGTTAGAGGCTACCTTTTTTCGTTTTTTACTCGTTGGTGGCAGATAAACTTCATCTTCACTTTCTGCACCACCATTTTCCGCATTTTGCTCTTCCACAATTTCGAAATTATTAACTTCATTTGGCAGCCCCAACTCAAAGCCCTTGGGATCAGTGGACTGATTTAGATCCACCAAATTATCAATGGCTTCCTCCATTGGACTAAGCGTTTGAACCAAGCTGGGACCACCCCCGGTTAACTTGAATTGCGCTGTGTTTGCGGCAATTTTTTTTTGTTTTAGCTTTCAAATCAACCCAAACCTGAAAAAGAAATATAAAATAAAAGTGAAAGGTAATTAGTATTATGTGTGATAGATAATTCTCACCTTTACCCACTTGTCCCACGTCTTTATTGGTGGACCTAAACTATTTAGCTCCACCGCAATTTTCTCCCACGTTGGTCTAGAGCGTGCCTTGTTGCAAATACCTTTCGCAATATCTGGATATTTCTCCATATTTGCAACAAGTTTTGCTATTAGCTTTTTATTACTTATTGATTTTGCCCTACAACAAACCTTATTAATTTTATTATTTCTTGATTTTATATAAAAACTTACATTATTCGTCGAAAAATATATATAAAGTATAACAAAGATGCTTGTATTACAGTGAAGTTAACTACAAAATGATAGAATAAGCAAACATAAGCAAATAATATAAAAAAACAAAAATTTAACAACCGTTACTCTCAATATATAATACACAACACTTGAAAACAGATATATAAAATGATAAATTATATAATATTAAATCTAAATGAATTATTACTAACTATTAAATTAATAATATTTAAGTTATATTAAATTTATATGTTAAATTGACTGTATAAAGCGTTTTAACAGCATTTATTTTATACGATAGATAAACTTCTACTGCTCAAATGCAGTAGACAAATTTGTCTACCGCTGATAGAAAAACTTCTATCAGTTTGCATTTCATAATACCAAAATTTGATTTTGTCTATCAGCAGTAGAAATTTTTCTACTGTCTATCAGCGATAGACAATTCATAATAGGCACTAATATCTTCCCAACTTACTTTACAATTATTAAATATAACATTATTACTGCTATTTTCTAAACAATTCCTGGTACTTTTTATCAAATGGGGTGCATCATAAAAAAAGAATATCTTTTCATCATTGACATTAAAAAAAGGGTGATGTACATCTACTTCTAATAACTTAGCTAATTTAATATTGTTTCTACCCTGATCACAAACTAAATGGCATGGGTAAAGATTAATGCCCTGAAGTTGTTGAATTACTTCAATAACATACGATTTCAGAACTTCACCCTTGCAACTTCCATTTACAAAAAAGTATGCAAGAGGTTGAGACCATCTTACTCCTGCGATTCCTTGTACCATGAAAGTCAAGACAGTACTTGCAATTTTGCAAGTACGATCTTCACCA